GTATACATACCTTAATGAGCATTTTACTTTTACATCAAAATATGGAATAATTTTCTTAAAACCCTACAACAACAACAACAAAGCCTTAATCCCACTACGTGGGGTCGGCTACATGAATCATTTTTCTCCATTGCGTCCTATTTAGTGTCATTTTTATTAGTTCTGGTAAATTAAGATCATTTTTATACAAAAAACCTAAGTCTTACTAGGTCTACCTCTGCCTTTCTTAACACAAGTCGAATCTGAAACATCTACTCTACTAATCGGATTATCAGATGGTCGACGTTTAAACCCTACTTTTAATAAATATCAACTTTATAATATTATTTTATGAGAAATTGTATCGGACTTAGAACTCTTAAATGACTTTTGTGACGCAGGGTGACGCTCCTACATTATGCGCAATTGTGAAAGGCGTGCGGAATACGGGGACGGGTCAAAACAATCTCGCTTTTCTTTTTTATGTTTTTTTTCCTAATATCATTCATTCATTTTTCAGTCATTTTTTATATATGTGTTGTATTAGGGTTTGAAAGTCAGTTTTTGACGTGATTTTGTGTAGGAGAGCTGACGACGTCCGTTTTCTCTCTTCGAGAGTTGTTTATGAGAGTTTGGTGGTCTTCTGATTGTATCTCTCTCTCTTGATATGGTGATTTTTTTCCCATCCCCTTTCACATCCTCTCTACGTTCCTCCTGGTCGCTCTCCATCGTTGCAGTCACTCCCAAAACAGCAACAACCAAACAGTCGTCGTTGTTTCCGCTACAGTTTTTCCTATTCTAGCCACCTGTCCTCACTATGGCCGCCCCAGACATGTACTTTGCTTTGTTTTAGGGTATGGGCTTCAGTGGGCCAGAAATTTTTTATGCTTTCTCGCCTCGATCAATTCTTCGATCAGGTTACAAAGATGTCAACAATCTTTGGTGTCGTGACCATGATCCCGATGATATACTCAGTATCTATTAGGATCGCGTGAATTCTCTCCATTCAAGAGGGTTTCTTGAAATAATCTTTGTTCGGAATGGCCTCTATGATTCCGGCCATTGTAACTCTCATAGGTGTGACTTCACTAGAAGGGAGTCGAAGTAACTCCTGACTTCTCTCTGATTTTCTTCGGACTATCCTTTTGTCATTGTTACTTCGTTCCTAGCAGAAAAGCTGGTCGGGAACGTTCCAAGGCTTCTTCTCAAAGCAATTTTTTGAGCTCCAACGATCGTCATGAGGCTGGCTTTGAAGCATCTAACTTGACTCTTGCGGTGCTGGATGAACTAGGACGGGAGTTGTACTCTTCAGCAGATATGTGACTTTAAAAGCTCCAGAGCTTAGCCAAGGTTTTTGGCTTCTTCAAGCCGAGCATGTATCAGAACGGTCCCTCGTGAAGGCCTTGAGCCAGAGCAACATGAGCAATGATAGGCTCCATATCTTGAACATCCAACATCTCCCATTGGAAGCGAGTGTTGAAGCTCTTGAGGCTCTCCGTAGGTTCTTGTCGGATCTTCAAGAGAGCTTGAGAGTTCATTTGCAGCTTTTGCGCATCGGGGAATTGAGTTGCAAACATGCGCTTGAACTCTTTGAAAGTGGTAATCATCCCTACCAGCAAATGGTTGAATCAGTGTAAGGTTAACTCCCTTAACGTTATAAAGAACAAACGACCCTTTAAGCCATCATTTATTCTAAGCAAACAAACGGCTGACTCAAATGAAGCCAGATGATTGATAGGGTCATATTTTCTCTTGTAAGACTTCAAGGATGGAATCTTAAACATCCTCGATTCCTCAGCATGTGTGATTCTCTTGAAAAAGTATTTTCTACCAGTTTTCTTTCTTTTTTTCTTTCCTGGTCTCTTCATCTGAATGCTCGACTGTAAATCTTCTCCTCTTTTCTTCTCTAGTCGAGGCTACGGCATTCTCTCCTTCTTCCAGATGATCAAGTTCATTTTTTCTATTCATTCTTGTTAAAGGATTGGGCCAAGAGATCTCCTTGGTCCAGCTCTCAGCAAGTTTTGCTTAGGTTGCTCATCTTAGTGAATCTTGTCGTAGTGGCTTCTGCCTGCGAGCCACAGATCTTGATGATCTTATTTGAATTATGGACTCATTTCGAGAATGAGATCTTCTTGCAGTTTGAATAAGAACTTCACACTCACTGTACTTTTCAGGATATTGAATCTTTTTAGGACGTGGGGTTTCGTATCGCTCTTGAGTACATAAAACCCTATAAAGATCCTATTTTTGTTGAGGAAATGTGGAATAAAGAGATGGTTGTAAGACCCTAGAGAGGTCTCAGAGATTATCTATTGAACTCGAGCCTCAAAAAAGCCTAAATATTAAGCTCATCAGAGGTTTCTGAGCTATAAGGTTTTGTAGAGAGAGATATTCTCACAATCTCAAGAAATGAAGAGAGTCCTCCAAGAGCAGAGTCCCTTTCACTTTGTTTGACTTTCCTTTATGCAAAGAGAGAAATTAATAAAATATATATTTAGTACTGTACGATCCCCATCTTTAGTGTCTTGATGAAAAAACTGTGACAAGAATGTCAGACGGTGCTTTTTTTTAATAAAGCCCAAAGGCTAATATATTAAAAGAAAATAAAGATACATATAGATTATGTGGAAGGGCCCAAGCATGGCACCCTTCCCCCACGATAACCACCACATACAAATGGTTCCAAAAAAAAAAATACAGAAAATTACAAGAGACCTAAAAAAAACAAAAAAATGCCAAAAAAACGTAATATCAGGTAGCTAGAGAGCGACCCAATTTTGTTTTGTCTCTACCTCTAGTTCTAGGAAAGGAGTCGGGTAATAAATTTGTAAGATGAGTGTCATTGCCAGTAGTGACCAACGTATCATCCAATAAGTTTCCAAGCTCGAGTCAGCCTCCAGACTTCTTCTTCCTCCTAGAATAGACTTGTCATTCATCATCCGAAGATTGGCTCGTCTAATCAGTGGATTGGTCTAAAGTGTGTCGTACATGTATCTTGGCATACCAGTTAATCCAGTTAATATTTGATTTAATTAAAAAAGCACTCTCATGTATCTTGGCATGTAAGTGAGTCTTCTTCAAAAAACAGTGAGTGGTATAAGCACTTTTGGTTTTGTACCTATAGTATGTTGTTCTTCATAAGGAACTGCGATGTTGGGTAGAGGATCGGTTTGCACATTCTCAGCAGGGATGGTAGGTGGGACAGATATGTCCAGAGTAGTGAGATTAGATTCATCCTTATTCACTTGATCTTTAGATTTCAAATTAGGATGAAAGTTATGACATTTATCAAGTGTATGCCCAAACATCTTACAATGAGAACAGTAAGGCGGCCTATACTCCATGACGATTTGTTGTCAATATCCATTATTAGTTGTGCCCAACCAGACTTTGGTAACATCAGGTAAAGTAATATCTCTTTCATAGAAGGCTTGGTTAGTTTGAAAGTTAGTAGATCTAGCTTCATAGGGTCCCCAAGTATGACCCCAATAGAGTAAAGAACCTGATGATGAAAAAAGTGCAGCTTAAGACCTGGTAGACTAAACCAAACCATACCGGTAAACCATACCGGTACAGTAGGAGGTTCATGATTGGGGTCAAAATCATGAAACCACTTTGAGTAACTTCATTGATTTACCAGCAATGCTGAGATATTTTTTGAAGAAAATCTGAATATAGTTTTCAACCATGGTTAATTGAATCAATACATTTCTTAATTTGAAATCATCAAAACTTTTCCTGATAACTTCCATAAGTGGGTGCCTCCACTGAAATTTTCCTATAAGTGCAAACTTGAATTTGTCAGTTATGGTTGAAATTTATAACTCCGAGAAAAAGAATGTTGTTTTCCCACTTTTTCTGCTTGCATTTTTAATAATGGGCAGTCACCTGTACCATCACGATATTCCTTATAACTTGAGGGAAAGACAACCGCCGTCTCCACCTGAGGAGTATCCACCACGTGAGAAAAGGAGGTTTTGTCAGGTTCAACCGAAAAAGAAGGAAGCTACATCACAGCAATTAGAAGCCCTGCCAAGTGGGTGAGGGCAGGAAACGAGCTGAAGACGGTCAGGAATCGAATCAGTGTTGTCGAGCAGACGAGCACGCAACCCCTTACCGTCTTCTGTTAGTGATCGAGGAGGAAGACGAAGGAGGAAGATGACCCCTTTCCCGTCTTCCATGAGATGTGAATCGGCGAAATCGAACAGAGATGATCTGTCAGGTTCGAATGTCGTAGACGCGAGCCGCAGTCGACGTCGAAGCAGCGCGTGCTGACGAAGACGGAGAGGACGGAGAGACGACGCCGGAGAAGAAGAAATGTGAGGAAAGGAAATGATCTTATGTGATAAGGGTTGCTAGGGTTCGTTCGACATGGGTCGAATCGAGCGTGGGAGACGACATCCTTGTTAGGATTCGACATGTCAGGCGGTGCTTTTAAAGATGGATGGACCTGCATTTTTTACTGGTAATGATTATCATCTCTATTAGTAGTATCTCTTTAGATGGGCTAGACTTTCCCTCATAGGTGGAAGGGAAGAATTCAGCCACTTCGGCAAATGGGCTCAAAGCCGCTTTTGTAGGTGGGCTCAAAGCCGCTTTTGTAGGTGACTTTAGAATACGCGCAAAAAATCCTATACAGCTATATTTGTGTGTACAACTTCCAACCATAAAAAAAAAAATTAATAAAAAAAAGCTTGCATTTATTTACCAACTAACCAAGCAACTCTTTGGATATTTCAAATTTATTGTATTTACATTACCTTGTATGCTATACTTATTTTCTAGGTACTTGCAATTAAAGCGCCTCTTAATAATTTTCCTATCCAACTTCTAGTATTGTAAATTATGAGTTTATTGCTTTCTTCCATCTTATTGCCAGAAACAAATTTTTGCTACTTAGTATTTTTGTCCCGTTACAACTTTTGAGAACGCATTAGCTTTAGCATTTTTACTGCAACTTTTCTCATTGCAGTTTTCTGGATGCTTCTGGCTTTCTTAATCTTACTACGCCTCCTTTTCAGGCGCTATCTTTCTTACAATTTGACACCATTTGCTGGAGTAGCAGCTCATATATCTCGGAATGAACTACCTATAAGCCCACCAGCATCCAGTTGCATATTGTCTCCTTTGCCCTTGTCCGGATTAATAAGCCTGCCAGTAACTCTTCTTGGATGCTTTCTCATATCTCACATTGGGGGGCGATATCTTTTCAGCCGTTCACGTGGACATGTTTTAACACAACAAACTAATGCTAACAATCTTTTAGCTGAATCTTGGAACAAAGAATTGTTGCTATGTGTTCGGGACTCTTATGTTCAGTTGGTGTTGGAATTTCAGAAGATCAGGAAGGACTACCACACTTCATCTATTGATTCAAACTCTGCACGTTCTTTAAGTTATATTCTACAGGCATATGATGATAGAATTTACTCTTTCTGGCCTAGATCTATAATGAATTCAAAATCTTTTGCACATGTTGATAGTGCCACCAAGGAAACAATTACAAGTAAAGCATGTGGTGATGATTGGGCATCACTAGTTGAACAAGTGATTAGGCCTTTCTATGAACGCCTTGTTGATATGCCAGTTTGGCAATTATACCGTGGAGATGTTGTGAAAGCTGATGAAGGTATGTTCCTGTCTCAATTAGGTAGTGAAAATGACGACAGCCTTCCAGCCTCTACAGTTTGTAGCTTCATCAAAGAGCGTTACCCTGTTTTTTCTATGCCATCTGAATTAGTTAACGAAATTCAGGCCATAAAAGGTAAGGTGAGGGAGATCACGCCTAAGATGATCCGAGGTCTACTTAAATCTTCTGTTTCAGTTTTACCTGAGAATGTTGAAATGTATATGGATGTGCTGGATTACTGTTTGTCAGACATTTATCTGCCAGATTTTCCAGCAAGTGAGTTATCAGGTTTCAACAATAATAGATTGGATTCTGTTGGTGCTTTGCAAACAGTAAGAGATGATATGTCTTCAAGTGCCACGCCATTTTTATCCCCAAAAAATATACAGAGAAGTCGTAGAGATGCTTTTCAGGGTTCAAGTAGTTCTGGAGGTGATGCTATCGAGGTTGTCACATACTTTGGCAAGGCTTTATATGATTTTGGCCGCGGAGTTGTTGAGGATATAGGCAAAGCAACAAGTCCTCTATCCTATGTTGACAGTGCTTCGGCATCCATTATTGCAGAACTTAAAGGGTTGCCATTTCCAACTTCAACAAAGCGTCTAGTGAGACTGGGCAGTGCAGAGTTATTCTTTGGGAACAAGGATCTGCAGTTACTCATGCATCCACTAGCAGATAAATTTGTCCATTCTCTTTGCTTAGAGAAACCTTTCTTCGCTAAGATTCTTTCCATCCAGAACATGCACGAATTTTTAAAACTGAAGAACTTCACCCCTCAGTTGCTATCAGATCATTTGCGGCTGCTGCTTCCTGAATCTTGGGTGAATGATGTATTATCTGTTAATCAAGCTCCTTGGGTGCCATGGGATAACTCTGCAAGCTCGGCATCTGATGGGCCACGTCCTGAGTGGATACGACTTTTCTGGAAAATTTTTAAGGACATTAAAGGAGACCTTTCACTTATTTCGGAATGGCCACTAATTCCAGCAGTTCTGGATGGAACAATCTTATGTCGTGTGAAAGAGAGCAAACTGATATTTATACCACCCATTCTGGATCCATCTCCTGTCACATATAATGGGGCTGGCGTGATAAATTCATCAGGAAGTATCGGCAAAGAACAAAACAAGTTATATATTGCGGCATTTGAAAGGATGTCTTGTAGATATCCTTGGCTAATGTCTCTGCTATTTCAGTTGAATATACCAGTTTATGATATGTCGTTTCTTGACTCTGAATTATCCTGTTATTTCTTCCCGGCACCTGGTCAATCACTAGGGCATGCTATTGTCTCCAAACTAGTTGCTGCAAAATATGCTGGTAGTTTTCCTGTTTTACTTCATTTATCAGCTAAAGATCGTGACAGATTGTTCACCTTGTTTGCATTGGATCACAAATCCCCCAGTTGCTGTTCTTACAAAAGAGAAGAGCTAGATATGTTGAAAGAACTTCCTATATACAAAACAGTAACAGGTTCCTACACCATGATTGTTGCCAACCATCACTGCACAATTTCTCCAACAGTTTTCTTTCACCCTAAAGATGAACAGTGTCTTTCTCATTCGGCAGATTCAAATGAATTTCTCCGTGCTCTAGGAGTTCATGAGTTGACTGATCAGGAAGTATTTGTAAGATTCGCTTTGCCAGATTTTGAAACAAAAACATTAGCTGAAAAGGAAGCAATATTGCTGTATTTATATTTAAATTGGGAGGATCTGCATATTGATTCCACAGTTGTGAATGGTTTGAAAGAGACAAATTTTGTACGAACTGCCAATGAGCTTTGTGCCGATTTATTCAAACCAAAGGATTTGTTGGATCCTCATGATCCATTGTTGTCATCGGTATTTGGTGGGGAGAGAACCAAATTCCCTGGTGAGAGGTTTATTGCAGATGCATGGCTCCGCATTTTAAGGAAAATAGGTCTTCGTACGTCCTCGCAAGGTGATATGATAATAGAGTGTGCAAGAAAGATCGAATCACTTGGACGTGAAGCCATGGCACATGAAGCAGACCTTGAGAGTTTTGAGACTGAATTACTTATTAGGAAAAGAGAAGTTTCTTTGGAGATTTGGGCGTTGGCTGAATCTGTTGTAGTTACAATATTTGCAAATCTTTCAAGTTTTTTTAACAATGATTTCTGTGAGACAATCAGTGATATTGCGTTTGTCCCTGCTGAAAAAGGTCTTCCCGTGATTGGTGGTAAAAGAGGGGGGATTAGGATTCTTTGCACATACAGGGAAGCAATCTTGACCAGGGATTGGCCTTTGGCCTGGTGTGCTGCTCCAATCCTTGTCAAGCTGAATGCGGTTCCTCCTGAGTTCTCTTGGGGGGCATTTCATCTTAGCAGCCCACCGCCATTTTCAACTGTTTTAAAGCATTTGTTGGTGAGTACGATTAATACGTCCGGAACTTGTGCTATTTGTTTTTTATATTCCTAGAGCCTGTAACAAGGCCGCTCATTAATGCCTTCGTGACTTTTATTTTGTCACATAAAGATGATGATAAGGAGTTTTTCACCATACTTTTAGATGACAGGTCTCTCTTTTATACACCATAGATGCATACTTGCATAGTTTTGTACTTTTTTTGATATATTAATGCAAATGCTTATTTTCACAGAACTTCTGCTAATTACACCTGCACTTACTATTCCAATAAATAAACTAGGTTGTTGGAAGAAACAACGGAGAAGACACTCTTGCTCGTTGGCCACGTTCACCAGGAATGTTGACCGTAGAAGATGCTTCTTTTGAAATTCTGAACTATTTGGATAAAAATTGGGGTGCAAGATCTTCCTCGGGTCAGTTTGCTAATCTCATTGATACGCTGCTCTTTTTTTTTTTTTTTTTTTTTTTGGTTGGTGATTATATGCTATTCAATGTGACTTGTCATTTCCTTCATAATCTTAGACAATAAATTTGAGCCTTTAGAAATGTATGAAGAAGGTTGGATCAAGTGGGACGAACTAACTTGGGTCGTTGCTACTTTTTGACAAAGGTGATTATACGGCTATTGTGAGGAAAATATCTTTTTTGAAAGCTTATGTGAATATTATAGTATTATATTCTCTTAAAAAGTTTTACAATAACTTTCTTATAGATATCTGTTCATCAAAAAGGCGTCGGTGTTGATCACATAATCCTTTGCAAAGAGATTGTGGGGCCCATCAAGCTGATCGAGCTAAGCTAATCGAGTTAAAAGTCGATGCTGATAGAGCAACTCATCTGGGAACTCATTTGGAGGATGTCTAAGTCTTCAACCCAGGGAAAGTTGACATAATATGGATATCTATCTCATAGGAGAGTCGACCTGATGAAATGGTCGATCTCGCAAATAACTTTGGCCATCCGAGAGTCGACCTGATGAAATGGCCGATCTCGCAAATAACTTTGGCCATCCCACAGAGGCCGAAAACTTCTCACAGGTGAGGATTTCTGAAATAGTCAACCGAATCAAGCCGATCGAGCCAAGCTAACTCTAACGAGCCAACTGATCCGAGCCAACTCAGCTAAGCCAGTAGAGCCAAGTCAACTTTGATAGTCGACAAAGGTAAGACAAATGACCAAAAGATGATTAGTCGTCTGTAAATTGCCAAAAACATCCAAATAGGGGCAAAAATTTATTATTATTTTTTTACTAAATCATTTATAAATAAGAGAAGCATTTATTGAAGAGGGGTTCCGCTTTTTTCATCGTTCATTTTGGATATCATAAGATCCAATTAGAAAATGCCTCTCTGCCCAAGGACTTAAATGACCTTTTCATTATTCATTGGGCTTACATCGTCCGAAGATGCTAGTCGAGTCTTTGGAACTAGCCAACAATCATATAGTGGCAAAAAAGTATAATTCTCCTCCCTCTTCATTCAAAACACAATGAACCAATTGTCACCTGCTAAAGAGAACCGCCCATGGAGAAGGATGGAAACCAAGATACAACTCTCTCCCTCCTACCCGAGCTTACTTTGATGACTCGTGACTACTCCCAGATACCCTGGAGACCGACAAAACTCATTATCGAGAATAGGTACTGAAGCTATTAGAGATTGGCTACATTTGGGGGATCCAATAGGCAGCATGAGTTTCCAACATGATCAGGAAACTGAAAGATTCGTTAGCATTGCCACCACTCCTCTAGAGCCCAAAGCTAAACAGAGAATTGTCTATATTTGGGAGTCGGACCCGGAGCCATCAACTTGGTTTAGTTCGAGAGGAGCATGAGAAGTAGTTTCCAATTTACTAAGTCTGGCGAGTTCTCCGAGGAGTCGAGTTCTGGTATCTGATTATAAAAGATACTAACATTTTCTCTTATCATTTCCACCCGCAGGATCCGCTTATATTCCAAACACGTCTAATCAGGGCCATTATCGATGAGCTGTTCTAGTCAACCTCACTAAATAGGAAAACTGCGGGCGACTTCTCAAGTAGACGGTAGAACTCAATAAGTTTGATCTCTTCTATTTGCTAAGAACCGCCATAAGAGCTCAATCTATAGCCGATTTCTCCAAACCGAGTTGAACCCAATGATTAGACGACAATCGATGACCCAACCTGGGTCCTGCATGTCGACGGAGCATCCGGTCGCGTCGGGGTGGGACTCAGTCTTGCTGTAACAAGGTCGATCGAGGATCACGTGTACCATTCGATGGAAGTAGGATTCAAAGTCACCAATAATCAAGCAGAGTACACAGCCATAATAGTTGGGTTACAGCTCACTTATGAGATTAGCGTGTGGTCAACTAGTAGTCAATCATGTGGTCAGACATTTCGAAGCTAAGGATGATGGCAAGGTATCGTAGCAAAGTCAAGACAAAGATAGGGAAATCTGAAGATTCAAAATCTAATACATTACCCAATAGGATAATCAGGTGGCTAACCTCCTCTCTAAGTGCATTTATTTAGGGTACGGTTCACCTCGAAAACCCATTTGTCTGACCATAGAAGAAACTAAAGCTATGGAGGTAGGAACTGAATAATCAAGGAACTTGGCAGATCTATATCTCTTATTTTTCAAGACTGGGAACATCTCTGAAGAAGTGAACAACCCAAAGTTTTTCAAGACTAAAGTCACTCGGTATTTAATGATTGAGAGAAAATTTTCTGAAGGTTGGCCGCCTCTCTATACCTAAGGTGTGTCAAGGAGAACGGAGTCGAAGAACTCCTCAGAGAAGTGCATTTTGGGGAGTGTAAAAGTCATTCCAGAGGAAAGTTGCTAACCCATAGAATATAGAGACACAGTTAGCGAAAGTCAACAAAGAATTCTCGAGAAGATGCTGGCAATGCCAGAAATTCGCGTCAATGCAGCACCAGCTGTCCCACAAACTAGAGCTTATTATTAGCCCATGGTCAATCATTTGGGGATCTGAGATCATGGAGTTTTTTCTCGGTCGCAAGGTCTGTGGAAGTTCTTGCTTGTCACGGTGGACTACTTTTTCAAATAGATTGAACCGAAAACGCTCACCTGAATCGCAGTCGATGTTGTTAAAAATTTCATTCAGTGAACCTGATTTGCCGATATGATCTAGTGGTCACAATCATCACAGATAATGAAACATAGTTTGTTGATCAAGGAATGAAAGTCTTTTGCCAAAGCTATGGAATTAACTTAAAATTCATGTTTGTCCATCTCACATTGACAAATAGGTAAGCCGAAACAACAAACAAATTCATACTGAATTTATTGAGAAAGAAGGTCGAAGAAGCCAAAGGAAAATGGGCTAAAATCTAATTATCCGTTTTGCGAGCAATTCAGACAGCCCCTTCCACCACGCCCCGGCAAACCCTGTTCATATAGTCAAATGAAATGGAGGTTGTGTTACTAATCAAATATTACTTTCACAGCCACATAGTGGTTGCAACCCCTGCATAAGATGAGTCAAATACGGCCAAATGTCGAGAAATTAATAACGAAGGGGTGGAACTCACGCTCTGCTTGATAGAACAAAACCGCGCTAATTCATACATTCGACGATATGCCATCATCTCCGCCACTTTTGCTACCTCAGTCAATTTCTTCTTCCACAGGTTCAGAATCGGTTACTGGCGTAGAGAACTTCTCGAGATCAACCTAGTCGAGGGAAACCATTTCACTATTTACCATATGGGAGACACCATACAAGATCCCCTCCTGGAATTTCTCCTCGAGAAAAGCCTCTTGCATGGGAAGAGAAGAATTTCTCGAGTGTTTTCATCACGGCCATCCACCCTTTCAGAACCCGATTCTCTCTTTCTAATACTGAAAGTAGCAAAAACTACTTGAGTTCTTCGCCTAGGGATTTTCCCTCGTCTCTTCCAACTCTTTCGCCACTGTTGTCAACCCCTCCTCAAGCTCTATTCAAGCCCAACTTTCCTAACAAAGGACAGTCAATTGATTGTGAGCAGCTTGTCAGGCCATCGCATGATATCGGTCAGTCATTCAACACAAACTGACCCAGCTCTTTTTCAGAAAAGTCTCCTCCAAGCTCAGGAGGCCATATAACTTCAACCATCGTGGACGTGTAATGGGCAACGACTGAAGAATTGGAGTTTCAATCTTTTCGAAGATCGATCAATGTAAATTTGCTGCCCAAGTTGGTTCTCGCCTTCTCCCCCATCTGCATAGGGACCATTTAAACTTGGACCCCTTGCGTTTCTTTCGGAACGACAAGGGGGGAGTTACCCTCAAAAGTCACTTCCTGGGGAGCATTTTCAACGACATTGGGGGAAATCAACACTGGGGTTGGTCACAGGAACTTTCCCCTTTCAATGATGCTCTTCTTCGAGATGAACCATCTTGGACAAGTTCACCTCATCGTAGGTTCGTCCTACTGCTCCAATGGGTGATCCGCCTAGTGTCCCGACGGTGACTGCACCAGTGGCTCGCCTAGTTAATGAGGAGAAGATGAACGGTTTCATCTCTCGTTGACAAATTCAGAAATATTGGAGCCTCGGGTCTAGAGTATATAGGCTCTACCTCCTGAAATTCCTCCACTAAAGCCTCCCTCTCCTGACGGCTCAATCTTTCTCGACGCGTCGCTGCTTTGACATTTGTATGGCGGATACCTCGAGAACCTGCAGAAGGAATTGAGCCCAACCTTTGAAAAATAATAGTAGAAGTAGAAATCAATTATAAAAGATCCACATCTGTCGAACCCTCGGAGCCCTCTGCCCGTCTGAGCGCCTTTGATATTGGATGTTTTTTGCCCCGGCAGTGACCAAATGAGCCTCTTTCTTGGTAATCTGAACCGCCAGTGTTTCCTCCCTCTTGGTCTGGCGAGCATCAGAGGCTTTCCAATCATCTTTGGTCATCATACCGAAGGTGTCGGGTCACAGCACCTTGACAATATCTGTCTCGAGGTATTGTTCAACTGATAATTTGCCCCCCTCAACCTTACTTTCCTCCAGCATTACTTTTGTTGACGCCTTTAACTTCGAAGAATCCTCATCGGATGGATTTGTACGGATTAATCAGTCGATCGGGGACGAAGCTAAGCAAAATAGTTGCTTTCAATCCTTTACCTTATTTTCCAGCCCCAACAGTTGGAATTTATCGACCGACGAAAATTATACAAATCCTTCTGGTTCAACCCGAAATAAGAACAGGTAAAACTGAATAGATCAATTAACTAAGGGACCTCTTGTCGTCGAGAAAATATGACAATTTATAATGGACGCGATAGAGTTTGGCTTTACCTTAGTCGGGAGAACTCTGTAGTTGGTAAAGACGAAGTGTAACTCAGTGCAGAATGGAAGGCGGGCCGAGTCAAAATTGGTCCTTATAAAGCAAAAGGTCCTCTCCGTAAAGCAAGGTCTCCTTATCCGCCTTGCTGGTGACCCCAAGCCTAATGCAAACATCGTAAACATGGCTCCGCTCGAACTAGTCGACCTTCTCTCAATTCATTCGTGATTGATCATCCAGAGCTTGCAATCCAAAGTTCTTTAGAGAATACTTAGGCTCCATCGAGCTATCGTTGAAGCGAAACATTGATATTCGAGAGAGTGAGAGAAAAGAGAAAGCAAAAGAAGAGTCTCTTTAAGTAACGACCTGACCCGAAGCTTGGTGTTAACTAAGGCGGATATAGACGGTCGGACGGTGAGAACTAAGTTTTTTTTATTCATTCATCTATAAATAAAGAAGAGTTCTCTTTGAGTATCATTATTTCGGGCGGAAGCCCACGTCTTAATATATTGTTGGACTCTTTCCGATCCAGGAGAAGGGGAAGCGGTATATCCACCGACTACATCAACCATGATTAGGAGTTGTTTCTTTTTTATTTATTTTTTGTGAAATACGTTTGTAATCCCTGTGAGTGGATTCTTTGTACTCACTCACTAAAACATTTATATTCTCTTTTTTTTATCAATAAATTTTGTCTTTTCATATATATATATATATATATATTGAAAGCCCAAACAAGGCTAATATATTACATAGAAAAAAAGATGCATATACAATGTATAGGAGGGCCCAAGCATGTCACCCTGTCCACACAAAAAACCATAAAATGTTTGAAAACTAGAAAAAATAGAAAAATAAATTAAACAAAAAATATATTACATACATTATATATATGTGTGTGTGTGTATAATGTGCACCAATACATGATAGTAAGTAGCTACAAACATTTATAACAATGTGACTAATGAAAGAAAAAATATATAATTCAAAATAAAGTGTGTACGAGTATCATTATTTACTAATGCAAAATAATGAAGAAAAACCAAATTATTATCATAGATTAAAAATACGAGTACTAGGCTTAATACCATATTATTTGCTTTCCAGAGTTTCTATATTTATTTTCACTTCTTTTATTTGATGCCTATAAAATTTTTAAATGCTTAAGTGGTCATTTTATGCTCAATTCTTTAATTGAATATATACTGATCCATTCATTTTTAACATCTTACCTTTTGTTTATTATGTATTTATCTTTATTTAATGTTATACATATGCACGTGTGTGTTATTTTTAAAGTAGTTGAAATAATTAATATATTAAAACACTGACCTCAGTTCATAGCTATTGATGCCTATTTGTCCCCTTTTTCTCCTTTGAGCTCGGTGATACTCCTCAAGCTACGACTCGACTCGGTTCAATATCCGCACAGAAAGCCTCAATTGCTCGATTCTTCTTCTTCATATAGGATGGTTGTGGACCCCTTCCTGCCATCATCTGCACTAAAAGCCAAGGGTTTGCCTGGCTTATTCCAATGCAGTCAGCTCGTCTTCTTCCTTCGCATTGAATGCCAAGAGTCATTCATCATCCTTTCTGCCTTCGCATGTCATGAGAGCTTTGGTCGAAGTCGCAGCTTAACCCAGTAGCGCAGTTGTCATTCGACTCTCAGGTAAGTCGTCTTTTGCCTCCGCCGCCCTTCCTACGTGTCAATTTATACACGAAAATATCCTTTCGTGTTCACCTTGAGTCATCTCTCCTCTCTTCATCTTCCCTTCTCTTTTCCAGTTTCCTCATTTCCTCTTTTGGCCATTCTTTTCTTTTTCCTAGAGTAACTGAAATGGGACTTTGCACCTTTATTCCACTCATTATATATATGTAATACCCAATTTTTGAGGAATTAAGTACGGCACAATTCTTAACGTACCCCAAAATTTTTTATCGCCCAGAATTTGATTGAAATTAATTTTATTAAATTCTAAGCATGAAATAGATCTATTCCATATAAAGCAACATGCACGAATAATGAATGGAGTGGGAGATATAAATTGTTGAAGTTACAAGTTCAATTAATTTAATTAAAATTTAATTAAACCCGAATTTTTCTCCCTAATCACCCTGTTACTATAGCCAACGATTTACGCCTTTTATTTCTTTCGTCTTCGATCGATTAGGGCAAATGCAGTTTTCAAAATCCTCTTTCTCCTAATTTCCTCTTTGATTCCCCTCTCCCTATTGCATTTCACGCACAGAGAGTTGCTTGGAGGGCTTCTATGACTCTTGCGCTTGGGCCATGTAGCAGGGGAGAGTCACGAACAGGAGAAATATTTTCATACGTAATATGCACGCAACTCTGCATGCGTTCTCCATTAATCCCACGATACCCTCATAATAACCTATGAATAACATCTAAATAGAACCTACGAAGGTTATTGGAATTAATACCCCAATAACCCCTAATAACCACGAATCAAAGGTTATTGCAGAGTTATTACGCACGCAGCTCTACGTGCGTAATACGTAAACAAATATTTCCCCACGAGCAGCAAGGGGCGGACGACTACCCGAGTGCGGCGGAGCACGATTTTGGGCTTCGAGGTTTCTAAGCATTAATTTTCTTCCTCTCACTTTCAATTTGAAGTTTGTCTCATTTTTCATTTTTTTCTCGTTTCCAGTATGAATATTCACTTGCTTTGTGTAACTTATATTTTAAAATAAGATCTCATGTTTAATTAAGTGTTTAAACAACGAGTGATAGAAAGGAAAATGTTAATAAAAAATGTTGATAACTTGTTATAAGGTAATTTTTAAATTATATCATCTTAAATTAATTTTCTTTAGTGCCACTTTTATTTATAAAATGTTATTTTAAAGAGAATGAATATCAGAAACTTAGTCTCCACCATCCATCTTGTTTAACCCCAAGCCCCAGGCAAAGTCATGACAATTCGGCCTGGGAGCTTGGAATTATCAAGGTAAAAATAAACGATCATATGGTGATTAAATACTAACTATTATCTTTAGATCACTAATGATATAATTTGTATTTATGTTGTAGAAATTGTCTCAATCCTAAAATAACTAAAGAGCCATAAAATTACAAATTCTAAATAAAAGATAAAATAAAATACATTTCTCTTGTGTTCCCCCATCTATAACGCACTCTCTCTTCTTCTTTTCATTTAAGTCTGATTTATTTAAATAATCGATATAGAGAGCCATCAAATATCCCAGTGGAATCATGTTAGCTCAAAAAAAAGAAAACTAATTTGCATTTTGATCATTCTTTTAAGCAATAGAAAATCATATGGCAAGCTAAACGTAATATTGTTGTCTAAAAATTTTAATTACAACAAATTTTTGGTACTATAAATTTATGTTTAATTTTCAGTATCCTAACTGACTTATGAAAATTTATTATCTATAGGGCAAAGTGATGTACGGTGGTTCTCTAATCTCTACTGGTTTTCTGTTGCTGTTAGTCAATGGTTTTTTATTACAGTGTATCTTTCCACTCTCTTTGTCTCTCTCTCTATATATGGGTTATGATTTTTCATGCTAGGATGTTGCTTCCTTCAATAATTACCTACCCTCCTGCAATAGCAGCGATACTAAGCTTGACCGTTTTGTTGGCAGCTTTCTCATGGGTTCTTTCTATTGGCATCTTATTTACGAGTTCATTCTATTCACCGTGCTATTCTATTAAATGGTTCTCCTACTGTTTCTTATTGTTTTGCCTCCTTTCTCGAATTCTTCATTTTATACTTGAAATTGGCAAATCATCCTTGCAGAAGCTTTTTTTTTTTTTTTTTTGAGAGGTGTAAATTAATTTTATTTTGTGATTCTAAACATGTATAGGAACCATGTAAATAAAGCATTGTATGCTAACTCCATTTTTTCTTTGGATGTACAAATCATTCTCCTTCGAGTATCCAATTCCTTGATCAAGCTGCAGATTTGATATTAAAAAATAAGCTATATTATTGGACAAGCGTGAGGCTTGCTTTTATGATGCCTAATTTCTCTTTCTTTTTTCTTGTATTGTATTTGTCATCATCAGTTAAATGTGAGAATGAGTTTTGTTAGATTCCATATTTTATGCATGGTTTTTGTAACTTTTAATATTCACGCTATTTAATTCTATTAGAAGGCCATAAATCTTGTCAGAATCTGATTTTAATGTTTTTTTTTCCTGTTTCGTTAATTTGTGAATAATTTGTTTGAGACTAATAGCTTGGGATTGATGAAATTTGTATATTTAATGCATTGTTTTCTACTTTGCATGCTAAATCTGTATTTGAAAGCCTAGATCCTAAGGCATTTTATATTTTAAATCTAATCACAATTTCAGCTGGAAAAATAAAATAAAAAAAACACACTTCATAAATCCCTGGAAACATGTGACCTCACTAAGCCGTTGCCAATGGTCACCTTTATTTTTCTTGTTTGTAAAATTATATCAGAAAGTTAAATACATGCTTTTTTGCAAATATTACCAAAATTTGTGCATTTAAACAGAATTGTTCATGTTTAATTTTGTCAAGCAACACCTTTTTTTCCAGATATAAAGGAGTTGCAGCAAGTACCATTCATCCCTGTTGCAAATGGCACTCGCTTTGTTACAGCGACATGTTTGTTTGTTCGTCTATCAGTTAATCTTTCACCATTTGCGTTTGAGCTCCCCAGTATTTACTTGCCCTTTGTTAAGATTTTAAAGGAAATTGGGGTACATGAAGCTCTCACAGTTGATCATGCGAGAAACCTTATTATGAATATCCAAAAATCATGTGGATATCAACGTGTTAATCCAAACGAACTTCGTGCTGTCATGGAAATATTGAATTTTATTTGCAACAGCTCTATCAAATCAAGTTCTGGTGGATCTGAGTCTGTAATTAATCACATAGTACCAGATGATGGCTGCAGGCTTGTATCAGCAAACTCTTGTGTATATGTTGATTCTTATGGTTCTCAGCTTCTTGCTGAAATAGATACTTCTAGGATTAGGTTCTGTCACCCAGAGCTTCCTGAAAATATATGTGTGAATCTAGGCATCAAAAGGGTTTTTGATGTTGTCATCGAGGTATGCTTCATTTTAGAGAAATGTGTCAAACGTGTCCCTGACTCTTTGTGAGGTATTTTAGTCCCACATTTTATAAAAGTGTCAATTTTGTCCTCAGATTCTATTAATGGGGCTAAAATAATTCTTATGTGACCTTTTTAACTTATATTGTAAGAGTCTAGGCCTAATTTGGTACTTTTATTGACTATAGGTCTAAAATAACCTCATGTAAATAGTCAGGGGATTATGTTGGCACTTTACTCCTGCATTTTACCTTGCTCATTTATGTTTCAAGCAAGTTACCTTGTAGATCTTTCACAAATGTTTTGTTTGATAACTCGCCCTTTTTTCAGGAGCTAGATGAACCACAATTGGAAATTTTGGATCAGCTTGGTTCTGTTCCATTGAACAAGATAAGGGATAAGCTTTTAAGCAAACAACTTCACCATGCAATTTTGAAATTAATTGACGGCATGAAAGTTCACCCCCCATCAGTCGAGAGGATGAAGTTGGAACACTTGGAAAGTTCACTAAGTCAGGTGGCCTACAAATTGCAGTTTGTTAAATTACTTCATACTCGGTTTCTCCTCCTTCCAAATAATGTGGACATTACACGTAAAACAAAGGTTTTTGCTATACCTGAATGGAATTCCAGTCACAGGCATCGTACTATTCATTTTGTGGATAAATCAAGGAATATAATTTTAGTTGCAGAGCCTCCAAGCTACATATCCATATATGATGTTCTCGCCATAGTTGTGAGTCAGATATTGGAGATACCATCCATATTACCAATTGGGCCGCTCCTTGCCTGCCCAGATGGTTCTGAGAAAGCAGTTCTGAGTGCAGCGAAACTAGGATCTGAAATTGGATTCATTAGAGATGATAAAAATAAGATACTTACGGGGAATGAACTGATTCCTCAGGATGCTCTTCAGGTGCAGCTCCTGCCCATGAGACCATTTTACAGAGGTGAGATAGTTGCATGGAAACCTGGTAAAGAAAGGGAGAAACTAAAATATGGTGTTGTTTCGGAAGATGTGAGACCATCTTCCGGTCAAGCAATTCATAAGATTCCTGTGGAAATAGCTCCTGGAGTGCTTCAACCACTTCTATCAACTCAAGTTTTCTCTTTCAAAAGTGTTTCTATGGGCAATGTTACCAATTTATTATCGTCGCCAGAAAGCAGTGAGATCAGAAATGTGCTGCTCAATGTTCAGGAAAGTAAAGATGGTGGAAATGGCAATTTAGGGCAACAGGTTTGATTAACTAATTTAACGGAATCCTATTTTTAATTTTAGCAAATGTTATGAATTCTAATGAGGTGACTTAATGTGGTAGACTGCAAGAGAGCTGTGGTATGGTAAGGTATCCGCAGAAGAAACAGTTCGAGCAGTCCATGAAATGTTCTTAACGGCAGGAATCAATATGGATACCGAGCAGCAGTCGCTCCTGCGGACGACTGTTACCCTTCAGGAACAGATCAAAGAGTTTCAGTTGGCCCTTCTAGATGAGCAGGTATGTCAGGGATTGTTTCACATTATTTATAAGTTTAGCACCTAAACTTCAATTTTTATTATATACAACCTAATATATGCATTAATAGGTCTATTCCACTTTTTAAACGTTAAATAGTGGTATTTTTTATGTGATATGAAAGATTTGGGTGTTACAAATATAAAAAATACTATTGAGGTGTTAGATATATAAATATGTAAGAATTAGTGGTTGATGCCGGAGTTAACCCAAACAACAACAGTAAGCAAATATTATTAATGAAAAAGCCAATAGGCGATTACAACCATCACACAAGATAGATAATAAAAACAGACACAAACAAACTCAACTGAAGCATACCCCATAGTTGGTCGATGGCAGGGAGAAGGTTGGTGGTTGTGCACTGTGGTGGGGACGTTGTAGATGGTTGGGATAGTGGCAGGTGGCAAGTAGTGGGTTCGAGAAGGTTGAAATAGCAACCAGGATGAGGGGGAAAGTCGAGCATAATCACCACCTCGGATGGAATGCAGGCGAAGCGTCATCCGTCATCGGATATAGCCCTAGAAGGGAAAACTTGGACGTTTACATTTGTTCTGACAGAAAACACTAAGAAAACTAACGTAGACATGACAAAAACAACATATATAGACTTGGGCTAACAAAGGAGTGGACCTCGCCACCCATACACAACAAATCTATGCTTGGAAGGACTGATCGGTCCTTCCTTTGCCTAGATAGAACAAGCCTAGTTTGTGAGATGTGGCATTTTGTCGTGTCTGGGTGTTGGATAATCCGCCTCAGTCTCTCGGGGTTGGGAAAGCTTCGACCTCTTTCATCGAACTTTTTTTCTGCACAATGAGTGTCGGGGTTGTTATAACCTCCTGAGGATGAAGGTTCTTTGACTGCGCTTCTAGAAGCACCTGAATCTCGCTGTCGGTTGCACTGTCTCCCAATATATCTGAGTAGTTTTCCTCCATTGCAAGCAGTCATAACATTGGTCCAATCATATGAGAGTGCACTGCTATAATGGAACTTCGCGCCAAGTGTGCCCTACAAAGTTTTCCAAAGATAGCCCAAATTTGGCTCATCCCTATCTGATGTGAGAACATATTGCACTCCCTCTAATAGTGATGACCATAGCGGCAATGTATCAATCATGATGTCCTGAAATGTTCTTTGTATTGAATGTCACGTGTCTGAAATCTGTGTCTCTTCCCCATTATTCTTTATTGTCACCAAATTTGATCTCACCTGCGCTTCTCATCTGGTAGGAGCACCTATAATCTGAAGCACTACAGAAGTTAAAAGAATTATGTGTTTTATGTCCTTAATGAATAAGACACGAAGAAAACTGACTTAAACATGACAAAAATAGCATATATATGTCACCACCCGGCCTTGAGCTTGGAATTAACTAAAACAGGAACAGACGGTCAGACAATGAGAATTAAATTTTCTATATTTTTATACAATTTAACAAATGAAAGAGCCACTAATCGAAATAATTAAAATAATATATTTAACTTTACCTCGTTACCGGTTGTCCACGTCTTCTATAAATGTTTATGCTTTCGCTCATATTTTAATCAACTAATTAAACCTAAAAAATTAGTTTCAAATGACTATGAACTAAACGAGCAAGTGAATAATCATACTTATAAGCTATAGTAATACAATGATGAAAGAAAGAATATGCATGTTAGTTAAATTTTTTAATAGATCAATATAATTATTTAACATTATTCAAAGTCTTATTATACTAATAGCATATAAATATCATTTCGTATTTATACAACCATCATAGAAATTATCGTCTAAAAATTATATCAATTATAACACATTAATATCAAAATCTTTTCATATACATGCACGGGTACCTTAATATCCCCCCACTAATATCATCAAGGGATGACTCTAGCATAGTCAGTCATGCACATGCAATTACTCATATAGATTATATCATTAATAATTTCATATCACTCAATATGTAATATTATAATGCATCAATTATTTCATAATATAAGACTTTCGCATTTGCATCAAAATGACCCAAAAATTTAATAATAAAAAAATCAATTATATTAATCATGCATGAATAATAATTCATACAACTGGTTTAGAAGAGATACTAAAATAATATTGTAATTTAAGAGTAGGAGTGCTTGCCTCGATGTCGATTAATTTGTGTTTGAATTTGTCTTAGCGTCGATTCTTTTAATTTAGAAACATTAAACATGATATTTAATTAATTTATTATTTATTAGCTTTTAATTATTTAAATGTTAAAGCTTCTTTATGTAATCACGCTTAATTTATATTCAATAAATACATAAATATTTGTATATATATATTGGTTGATACATTGATTACTACTGGCAATGACAATCTTCTTACCAACTTATTAGCTTGCTCCTTCCCTAAAACTAGAGGCAGAGGCAAGACTAAATTGGGTCGCTCTCTAGCCACCTGATACTATGTATTTCGGCACTGTTAGGCTTTTTATTTTAGTATCTAATATATTTTCTATTTTTTTCTAGTTTTGAAACCTTTTGTGTTTTTTTGACATGGTGTCATGCTTGGGCCCTTGCTTGGGCCCTCCCACACATTGTAACTGTATATTTTTTTTTTCTATTTAATATATTAGTCTTTTTGGGCTTTCAATATATAAATATATATATATATATATTTATTACTATACCTTGGTCAAGCCCTATACCGTGTGAAAGCTCACCTTCTCCCCTCTGTACGCAATGCTCTTCCTCCAGTACACGAAGGCTCGGCTTTGACTCCCTCCTCGACGACGCTGTCGACTACCTTCTTCCAATGCTTAATAGAGATGTTATCACCTCTTTTTTGCACGTGATAGGGGGTGCAACCTCCTCCGTATGGCAACAGCGCTTGAGAGAGCTTTTTCCATGCACGATGAATTTCACGAGAGCTCCTCCACATTATCCTCTTCTTTGAATCCTTCGATTTGTTCTCTTCACCGTCATCGATTCTTCCTCAGGCCTCCGCGTCGCCGGCTAAGAAGTCTCCCGCGTCATTGTCCTCTCGTCTACGCACCGGTCAACTCCCAAGTAAGTGAATCTGCTTTGGCTGTGTCAATTTATAGGCAAACTCGTTGTGTGGGCTTCTGATCCTCTTGTTTCAACTTTCCTATTGTACGATTCATCTCCAAATTTCTTCGACTATTCGACCCTCTCCGTTTGTCTCCCCTTTACTTGACTCCTAGCTTCCACTTCTTCATTTTTCTCTTTTCTCTCCCCCGATTGCAGAAACGGGAATTATAAACTTCCCCACTTGAGAAAATTTCATCCTTGAAATTTAAAAACTGACCACAAGTCACATCTCATTAAGCAAGTCAACATTAGCTATCCATAATTTTTTTATCAAACTCCCTACTCTTATAATTCCAAGTGTAACGCTTTGTCTGAATAGATATAATTATTAATTCAAGTTAACTTTAATTTATTATTTTTATTATTATTATTAAAAAAAATTTATAATTAATCTAATGACTATTTCTTCATGATTTTATTAATTAAACTCAAACATTGCTTTGATACCACTTTTTTCACGATCCGGTCCAGGGCTTGAAAATAACCAAGACCGGAACAGACGATCAGATTGTGAATATTAAATTTTCTATATTTGTCTATAATTTAATAAATGAAAGAGTCACCAATCAAAATAATTTAAAATTATTTATTTAACTTTACTTTATTATTAGTTGTCTACATCTTCTATAATTGTTTCTCTTCTTTCGCTCATCTTTTAATTAACTAATTAAATCTGAAAAAATATTTATGAGCTAAACGAGTCTGTGAATACTCATACCTATAAACTACAGTAATATCAGGAAAAAATAAAAAATATGCATGTCGGTTAATCTTTTTAATAAATCAATATAAATATTTGTTATTACTCAAAAAGTCTTATACTAATGGCATATCAATATCATTTCGTATTTATACAGTTGTCATAAGAGTCACCGTTTAAAAATTTTGTTAAATATGACATCAATATCAATGTCTTTTTTCATATATGTGCGCGAATATCTTATTGTTCTCTCACTGGTATCATCAAGAGGTGATTTCATCTTAGTCAGTCATGTACATATAGCCATTCTATGTAGATTATATCATTCATAAATTCATATCACTCAACATGTCATACTATAATGCATCAATTATTTCATAATGTCGCATTGAAATGATCAAGAAATTTAATAATAGAAAAATCAATTGCATTAACTATGCATGAATAACAATTTATACAATTGGTTTAGAAGAAATGCTAAAACAATACTATAATTTAAGAGTAGTAGTACTCACCTCGATTTCAATTAATTTGTGCTTGAATTTGTCTTCGCATCAATTCTTTTAATGTAGAAACCTAAAATATGATATTTAATTAATTTTTTTATTTTAATAAGCTATTAGCTTTTTTATTATTTAAATGTTAATTTTTCTTTATGTAATCACGCTTTATTTCTAGTCAATATATATATATATATTATTTTTATTTTTATTTTTTTTAAAGCTCAAAAAAACTAATATATTAACTAGATACAATGTGTTAGAGGGCCCAAACATGACACCCTGCCCACACCATAACCACAAGTGGTTCCAAAACTAGGAAATGCAGAAAAGTACATTAGAGACATAAAGAAAAAACCTAAAAATGTTGAAATACACAGTATCATGTGGCTAGAGAGCAACCCAATTTGGTTTTGTCTGTCTCTGGTTCTAGGGAATGAGCAAGCGAATAGATTGGTAAGATGATTTTCATTGCCAGTAGTAACCAATGTATCATCAAATATGTTCCCGAGCTGGAGTCGGCCTCCATTCTTCTTTTTCCTCCTGGAATAGACCTGTCTTTCCTCTTCCGAAGATTGGCTCACCTGATCTTGGTCTAAAGTGTGTTGGAGATGTGCAGGTTGTTCAACATTAGAAGCAACTATATGTTGTACCGGTTGATTTGTTATTGGATCAAAGGAGCACTCTCGTGTGTCTTAGCAA